TCACCAGCAGAGAGCGCTATTTGGATTACAAGAAGGGATAAGCGGCGATGCACGTACTTTTCAGTTGAGTGACCATCTTGTCTTCGTTATATATCTTTTCCACAAGTGTTTGATAACTGCAATTGAGGTATCAACACAGTAAGTGTGTTTATTTATATCTATATGTCTCTACTGAACGATATCAATATCGGCCCCAAAAACCCATATCAGTTGGGCCCTAGTAAAAATATTTAGACAACATCACCAGTCAGGTACATAAAGAGCAAAAAACTTGACTTTATAGTTTTGCTATTGGATTGAGGTAGCTGAATTGAATCTTTTTTTGTACAAAATGTAATTGCATTTAAAGTGACATGTGACATGCCAGTCATAACTTTGATTTTGGGGTGAGAATATCTTTTTAACTAGGATACCATTTTATTTCACTTAGTGACCTTTATCTCCACTGCCATGAAACAGTCAAAAGTAATAGAGGGGTTTAAACACCACCTGTGTGTAGGAAATTTTGCGTTCACTTTATTGTATTTTTAGCACATGGTGTTTGTCATGTGGATGGTACGAGCTAGTTCTGTGTAGTCTCAGGAGTGTCGTTTTGAACACAAGGAGGTGAAACTGCCCAACAAGCCAAAAACAATTAAAGACAGTCTGGAGGCCTCTTGCCAAGTAAGGTGTTGTGTTGCTGTGAGGTTGCCTCTGCCTCGGTAAACATCCCTGATTTGCAGTAAAGAGGGGTAAAGCACATCCTAAACGATCCAGCTGTAAACTCCCATCTGTTATCATTCATTCAATCGCTGTACATGTGAATTTTGGTTTTTATTTTTTTCAAATGTATCAGCTGAACATCAGACCTTCTGTCTTAACTAAAGCTTGAGATTTCCTGTCTTACAGTAAAAACTGTCTTTGCTCACTAGCAGTGCCACCATGCTTCAGTGACTGTGGGAATGTAATGCTAAGCGCCAGCACAATGCAAACACGCACATGTTTAGAGCGGTCTGCGGTGACTCTGCCATTAAAGTGTACATCTGTGAGAGTCATCAGTTAAGACTTCATGAGTAGTGCAATACTTTTTTTTTTTTTTTTTAATTCACAAAACATGTTATATAGCACTTTCAAAAAAGTTTTCCCAATGTGCTCGAAGATAAGTTACCTTGGCGGTAGGGTTGGCTTTTAGTGACTCTGTAGGCCTTCATGTCATGTTGGAATAATTTGATGGTTAAATTTAGTGATGCTATAATATAAAACATGAAGTGGGACTTAATGTAAACATCTGCGTATAGCTTCATTGGTAATTTTTGAAAACAGAGATTAATGTTAGAAGCTTAGCTGAAGAGAAGCATGAACACATCTGTGCCTACACCCTATAAAGTCCCTCTTGGGCACTTCAGAGTCCGAATATGTGTATGTAGTTTATTTTCTTCTTTTTTTTTTTTTTATTGTGTTACTTTAAGTTCTACAGACTGTGGTTGTGATGCGTTCTTTCATCTGGTCCAAGTATCTTGCCATTCTTATAGAGTACATGTCCAAAAACTGAGTGTCTGTGTCATATGTTGCATTCTGTCGCTGCCAGGTGAAAATAAAATAAAACCATGTGTTCTTTACTACAGAATTCATATTGAATTTGCTTGTAGTGAAGCATTTTTAAATTCTGCCATATTCATGCACTCTGATTTAAGAATTATTTTTTTCCTTTTCAATGATGGACGCAAAATGTGCCCTATTTTTATTTTTCTATTGTATTCAACAACTGTTTTCATACGGTTATCCAGGATATACAGTTATCTACATTAATTTTATATTTGTTCGATTATAACCTTATTACTTTATCATTCGTATGACTATTGAATCAAGCTATACTGTATTAAATACAAACTGTCAACGTATATGTTTGTGGAAGTGTCTTTATTCCGCCCTCAAGCTATTATATCTCTCGTTTTAGAGAAAGGCTTTGATTGTTGAATTTCTCACTCTCTCACAGTTAGAAGCAAAGAATGACAAAGAAAACATTGACATACATCCTAAATTTGGCTCTGTATGTGTTCAACTTTAAAGCTTTGCTCATATTTTTTTTTTTTTTTTTTTACATATTCTGCTAATTCTATTCTTTTATGGTTTATTTTGGGGCTTTTTTATGACTTTTTTTTAGAGACAGGACCGTGGTTAAAGTCAGGAATCAGGGAGAGAGATAGTGGAAAAGGAGCCCCGTTTTCAACCAAGCTGTCCGGTTCAGTACACATAGGTTGCCGTTTCCATTGTCAACAATTTGGAACGGAACCAAAATAACCCGCTTTCTTGGTACCCTTCTGTTGGGCTGCCAAGCAAACCGATCCCACACTAAAGATTGGAGCTATAGACACACTGCAGTCCGTTGAATGGCCGAAAGAATCTTCACTTCCTGTGCGACAGCGATAATAAAGGACAAACACAAAACGCACATTGTTTCATAGCCTGTGAATTTTGAGAGATATTTGAGAGTAATTTCGAGTCATTGTTTGTTTTACTATTGTCAGCGCGTAGCACCTGTCTACACTATGTCGCACCGCTGTGATTTAGTGACGTGTAAGGGGTTGGCTGTGGAAATAAAGCAAGATCAGAGTTTACAAGACCAAACTGTTATGAACCAAAGCGGGCCGCTTGGTGGAAACTTTAAGAAAAGAGGGTGAAGAGGTGGGGTAAAGAAATGCTACAAAGTGCTTCCATAGAGAGCATTGGAGGTCAGAAAGGAGTAAGCCTTTCATTTCTGTCATGTGTTAATTATAACATCAAAGAACTGAAAGAATTATTACATTTGGCACTTTTGGTTCTAATACTGCTAGTCAATGTATTTATATGTATAAATAGCTGACACGTTGAGTTTCCAGCTTTATACACTTTTTATATAACCCAAGCTCAACTATATCAAATGACAAGGCTTGGTAATGATTACCCGTCATTTCAGCTGACAAGTGAAGGTCCCAAACATCACTTTGCTCCTAAAATAAAGACTCCTGTTCCTACGCTGCAGCAGATGCTCGACAAATAAAAGACTGAGAAGAATAAGAGTTTAGTGAGACTGTTGGGGTTTACCAACACACCAAAGAGAGCAGCGTAAGAAACAGTGCTGCTTACCCCCCTCCAGTTTGAAACACTGCAACTGTGAAGCATGCTGGGAGCTGAGTTAAGCAGAGAGTGGCTGTTTCTCTCTCAGCAGTGCTGCTTTGGTTTTAATGTTCATATTATTGCACTGTATTGCAGCGGTAAATCTTACTGAGAGAGTGGTGAAGTCATCTTTGTTGTCAATATAATATCGAGCTCATTTGACCCTGAAGCTGAGGAAATAATTTTTGATTAATAGACAGATTTTTTTCTGTAGTTCGTAAAATTAAAGCTAATGCTATATGCTATCATCCCCTTGATGTTTTTGTCCTCCAGCTAGAGGCGGCCATCTCTTTCCTCAGCCTTATGAAGTGTCATTTGTATTTATAGAGCAACTTTAAATGACCACTGTGACCTTTTAACTTAACTGTTAATCTCTCCCTCATATCCCACAGCTGATACAACCACTGACCAAACAATAACTAAAACTTTTCATATGAGGAGAGACCTCTAATCGTACACTTTTCCACATCAAATAAGCAAGAAAACAAGCTTCGATTCAAGGCGTCTTTTTTTCTTCTTTTCAGCTCAGCCTTTGGCTAAATGAGTCTAGACCTTTGAAAATACTGTATTTGTTTTAACCACACTACATCATCAAAAGGGGGGCTGATTAACTGATTAACAACGTCTTCTTGAAACCTAACCAAGAGCTTGTGTGAGAATCTGAACTTTTAAAATGTTGATCTTAATGCTTCTGTGATCTTTCACAAGTCTTGGACAAATGGATACATGCAGTTCTCCAGCAGTCGATGGTTATTACATCATTTGATGCTCATAATCTGGTTATACCAGGCCAAATGACAAGTCAAATGACTTACTTCTTTGAAAGATATTTACTCACTGAAGTTAATCTTCTAATAACTAAAAATCAAATCATTGCTCTGATATAGAACGCTGAATAGGATATTTGCCTTTAAATAGTAGAAATAGTCTCAAAGATGTAGGCTACTGAAGTATTTTCTTTCACCCATTGCTTCCAATGAGATAAGTTAATAAGACAGAACACAGAGTGAAGTGAAAAGCACAATTTGAATGTGTTAGAAATGAGTTTTTTATCAATACTGTTTGAAATATAATAAACAAAGGGGGTTACATCGGTGCCACAACATAGCTAATGGCAATTCAATACAATTTATTTTTGTACCTTTCTTTCAATTTCGTACCACCACCTACCCTATTTAACCGATGTTTGCAATCTGTCTCTTGATGATCCTGATGAAGGCCACAAGCCGGAACGCGTCGGTCTAATTTCTTAATAAAGTTGATCTTCATACTACAAGTGTTGCTGGAGCCTTTTGTCCTCAAGCCTTTCACTCTTTATGCACCTTGGTAGTTGGTGAAGTTGTGCCAGAAAATCCTCTGCTAATCATGTAATATTGTCTGAAGTCGAACGTAATTTTGTATTTATCATTTAAATCATGCTAGAAGATGTAGAGCAATAATGTTGAATATTTTAAGAGAACAATGTGCACAGCAACCCCTGTTTGGATAGTTAAAAAGTTCATAAATGGTAAAAGGAAGAAAGGGTACTTAAAGTAAGAAACAGCTGTTACTGAGGGGGGTATATGATAGGATAGGATATATACATTTCCATTAAGATTTATGATAAAAACAAAAAAACAAAAAAAAGTAAAATACTTACGTACACAACTTGAGTAAATGTAACAACATGCCCACCCACCTATTCCGGGTCGTGTTCTTCCACAGTGAAAACTAAGAGTAGGGATGTTTCCTCAAGCCTTCACAGGTTTTATGAAATGGAGGGGCGCACTGCTGTTTCCCTGACGCTGCCTCGCTTTTAGCGGGTGATATTCAAAATAAAGTGACGTGAACTGTAGTGTGCGCCAATGCCAACGGAGGGGGGCGTCTCCAACTATTTTGTTACAAACACGAATCCGGAGCAAGGAGTCTTTTTCCTGGGTATGTAACAGCTGCATAAATAAAATTATATTCACTATGCTCGTGTTATTACAAGTTAACGTTGTGATTAGGGAAGTGTTGTGTGACCACTTGCGCCCTTTGTGTCTTTAAATTAATTGAAGGGGGGCTTTTTAATGGTCGTAAACGGCTACGGAATCAAAAAAAAAAAAAAATCCAAATACATGTTGTGGTAGCTGGATAAATCTGCAGGTCGTCATTTTGTGTGCTGGTAAACAATCTGTCCCCGGGGTTGTGTGCTCATAATCTGAGGCATCCCGCTGTCTGGGAGTGCAAACATTTCGTCTGCAGCGTTGTGTGAGCATGTAACGCTAATGGATCTGTAGCAGGGGGAGGGAGTTGTTGTGGTGGTGAGGCAGGTTAGACATTTTACTCCCCGACTGTTGAAGTAAACAAAGAATAGCTTGGGTTTATTGACGGCTCGGTAGTCAAATGTGCAGGAAAAACGAGAACTGCGTTTTTTTGTTGTTGTTGTTTTTTTTTTTTTAGAGTTTGTGGGGGTATGGCGTGGCTCCGCCGTGTTTTCCAGCGACGCCGCCGTAGTTCCCGTTTCGTTTGACTTTGGCATTGTTTAGTAAGGGCAACCGGATCAGCTTCTTGCCGCCCTGAAAAAAAAAAGATGCAGTGTCGCTCGTCTGAGCCGTGTTTCCCGGTAGGGAAACGACGTACATGCCGAGGCGTCGATCTCCCAGCTGATGCGTTTTTAAGTGCCATGAGTCTTTTGTTTGGAGAGTGCACTGGTCGACTGGCTGAATGGTCATCGTAACCGTGTAGCTCGGTGTTTTGTTGGGGATCTCCAGCCCGCACTGCGTTGTCTCACATTGCTTTTGCACACACAAAAAAAAAACTTGGAGGAAAAATAACACACTTAACCCCGCTGCAAAACACGCCCCATGTTGTGTTAAAACCACGCGTATTGTTTGTCAAATGCAGGCGTCGTGTGTTTCGCGAAGAAGCACGTAGTTTTGTACAGGAAAACCAGTCGGGATAGTGGGAGTACGATGCGAGTGTGTTTCTGTGTGTGTGTGTTTGTGTGTGTGTGCTGCAGCCTACGGTCGCTGCTCCCTGAATCCTCCGCCTCGGCTGGAGGGAGGAATCCCGGGCTTGGTGGCGCAGCTCCGCCTGTCGTGGGCGAGGGTTTATTTTGGAAGTTCCACCTTTTTTAGGATTTGCAATGACGGTTACGTGCCATGATTGGCTGAAATGTCCACAAAGAGGAGGGGCACAAGTGCAAAAAAAAAAAAAAAAAAAGGGCAGACTCCCTCCGTCCCGCCTCTACAATGTCACATGTCTGCAAACTCCAGGAAGTAGCTCATCTTGTGGATAGGTATTTTTTAAAAATATATTACGCACTACGAAAACCCGAATTATATCCCAAATAAAGTTCCCGTTATTGGGAAGAGTAGCTGTGCTGGGTGCTTTGTTGTATCCAGTGTATGTGTTTCATTAAAGACACAAAGGTTAACCCACGTACAGAAAGCATGGGCCATATTCCAGAAATGCAGCACTTGTTGTTTTTCTTTATGCAAAATACACTGCTACTCTCTAAAGTGTGTTGAGAGCTTTACTTGGCGGAAACAAAAAAAACACAGTTCATTAAAATGAACTGCATATAATAATACAAAAACGTCGTGAAGGTATGTTCATCTCGCATTTGCACATCAAACATTTATTTCCTGCAGGAATGACAACAAGCCTTGCCACAATAAGCAGTCATAAACAATTATATTTACACACAGAGAGACGGTGAGTGTTTATTTGTACTGCCATAATTAGTGCTTTTATTTAAACATGTACTTTTTTAAATATTACTTTAATTGATGAAGTACAAAAAAGTCGCAGGTAGGATAATCCTGAAGGACGAGTTTAAAAAAAAAAAAAAAAAATGCACCGATGAAGAGGAATCTCGATCCTGCAGTGGCATATAAAACTTAAACTTGATGGCTGCAGTCATGTTATTTGTCTGGCGTCTCACTCGTGGTGTTACCTTAAATGTTACCCTGTCCTTATACGATACAAGCGGGACTCTTCTGACTGCTGCCAGTGGTCGCGCTTCAAGTTAAAATGGGCGTGCTTGGTTACTGTGCAATAAACCCTTGATTGACAGTTCAGATTCACGAACCCGGATCCTTAGCCCCGCCCATTGGTAGATCCCCCTGCACGAACTGACCAATAGCCCGCATCGGAGGGCGGGGCTACATCTGAAAACCCCGCCTCAGCCAACCGAACGGAGATTGTTTTCCTCTCTCGGGGAGATTTTCACTTTGCAGCCCCACTGCTTGAACTGTTTATTTTAATTCACACGCCTCTAATAAGTTGCTATCAGCCCTCACTTGTGGCACCTTTCTTAGCCAGAGTTGTAGAGGTTCACCCACTATTAACGGATTATCTATTCATCATTTGGGATCATCAGTTTTGCTATTTAGGAGAGGGGTGAGTTCATTCAGCGAGCTAACACAGCTAGCTGCCTATCAACCGTGAGCGGACGTTTTTAGTGAACCACACAGGGGATCGACACCTCTTTGCTTTTCATTCACTTGTAACTTAACATAACACGAGTAATCTAATAAATCGATAGCTGGTGCTGTCTTTAGAAAGCCTGTTTCAGAAGCAGGGATCGTTACTAGTTAGCTGCATGTGCTTCCCCGCTAGCCCCCCCCCCAAAACTGTGCTCGGCGTCGGGACTACTCATGTTGTTTACATTAGCTATCAGCTAAACTGGCAGCTCACAGACCCTGACCCTAACTTCTCCGCGTAGTTTATGGGGGGAAATCTGCTTTCGTTCACTTTAAAACACTGTGTTAGGCTGCGAGACGACCAGTAGGTGGGCTATATTTGAGTGCTTACCTTCTGGAAATGGAGGTAGCATTGCTGCACTCCTGCGCCACGCTGTAAATGGCGGGCGAGAGGGAGGGAGGGGGGAGGCGGGGGAAAGCGGTGTGCTGTAACTCGAGGCCGGTGCTTGTGTTGCCAGGCCAAAAAAAAAGGGGATGGTGACTCTCTGTTGTCGGCTGTTAGCATGTAGCAGAGCTGTGTTCGCCGCTGCACGGCTGCAAAAACCCGAGTGTAGCTGAGGTTATCTATAAATACTGCAGCCTGTCTGTCGCTGTACGAGCGACACTTCAGTGTTTTTTTTTTTAGAAAGCTCAGTAACGACTCAGCTGTGGGTTATAAGTACACACACACTCTCTCTCACTTTCATTAAGTCACTTTTTGCTCGATATTGCAGGGGGTGGAAACACAATGTATCTCTGGGGGTTGTGTTTCTCTATTCATGAGTTGTTGCTGTCTTGAGGGGAAGTTGTGAATGGCGAGCTGACTCGTCTCCCACGTTCACACAGCAGCACCTGTTTGTGTTGCGTCGGTGACGTAGACTTGCCTGTGTTTTTTCATTGGCTCCGGGACGCTGTGCAAGTTTTGCATTCGGCAGCAGCGTGTTAACATTTTAAGATGCGTTTCTTATTATAAGTCGAAACCTGAAGCAAGGCACGAAGTTGACGGTGCGAGACGGGCAAAACGTGGGAAAATGTTGTGTGTCGAGTGCAGTGCGGAATTGTGCACACTTTCTGTTACCATGTACATATGTGTGTGTCTATATATATATATATATATATATATACAGCAAGGTATTCTCAAGGGTTTTGCAAGGTAATGCAATCGTTGAGATTTCAGTCAACCTCATCAAACTGTGTTTATATAGCACACTTTAGACAAAGACTGTTTAATTGTTGACTGTGCAGATATTTAACCACGTCTTAGTTTAACCATTAAAGCAAATGTATCTCTATCATCCAAAGAAAAAGATCTCTTACAAAATCAATACACAATAAAACATTTTTTTTTTAAAAAGACATAGATGGTGCAAAAAATAGAACATAAGCTGTGCATTGTTGTTTCAGCGTGCTCTATTTTGTGTTACACTGCTCCCGAAGTTCTTATTTTTACCTGAATACCCTCCTCCAGTCGGCTCTTTCCTTGTTTTCATTCTGATGCTCCAACATGTGGTGTCGTTGCTGCTCTGTTGTCATGTATGCGTCACAGTAAAGCGTCAGGTCTGGCCTGATAAGCACATCTCTTACGGATACACTTTTGGTCGATAGCTATAATAAGACATTTGATGTCAGTCTGCACTGATGCACACAGACCTACGTAGTTCCACAGAAAAAGAAACATCCAAAAACAATAACACCAACCAAAATCTGCACGCTTCATCACAAGCTAGGGAGTCAAAACAGTCCCCAGAATTTGACCTCAGGCGATCTTGTGTAGCAATAAGAATCAGATATTTCGATGGCTGTAAGGTCAAAGACTATGTGAGAATTTTCATTGTCAGCAGCACGACTGAAGTGGTTAGCTGGCAGTGTGTGTACCCATAGATTTACAATTCAAGCATAACAATTATTTCCATACGTTCACGAGCGAATTATCGCAAGCATCAAGAAGCTGATTTAATGGATTCTGATGACTTGACAGATGTCCTCCAGTAAGAAATAGGATCCTTATGCTCTTTTCTACCCAGGTCTCTCAGCTCTTACAAGTATGAGTTCATAATGAAGCGGCGTCTGGAGGATCAGGAAACGGTTTTTGCGTCCCAGCAGCGGCGCCTCGCTGGCAACGCGGAGGCTTTCCAGCATCGGGTCCTGGCCCCTGCTCCAGCCCCGGCTGTGTACGAGGCTGTGCCTGACAACATGCAGCCCACAGCAGGCGTCCAGTACTCCGTCCCCCAGGGATACCAGGTATTTTCCTGTCCGTCCTCTGCAGATTTGTGCAAGCTTAATGTGTTTCTGAGTTTATCGTAGGTCAGACTGCAGTTTTAAGTCACGTAATGTTCATAACTTAAGCTGCTATTATCAACATTTGCTGCCTGTCAGCTACTGAGACTGAAGCTCTTTTTCTTTCTGTAAGCAGTAGTTACTGATTTTAACTCTATGTCTTAAAATGCTTTCCCCTTAAATGATATGGTGACACTGCTCGCCATCTGATTGCTCTCCACTGACGTTCACCATTTAGCGTCAAAGTAATGTGCCTCTGCTTTCCCAGGTTCCCACTGTGGCCCAAAACAGCGGAGGGCACGGGCACACTCCGAGCCCTGCCGTTCACAGCGGGTCCCACCACCACAGCCCGGCAGTCCAGTCCCATGGGCCCTCGGTGATGTCGGGGCACAGCCACACAGCTGCTCCACAAGCCTCTGCACAGGGCCAGCAGCAGTTCCAGAGGCTCAAGGTTAGTCAGTACATTTGATTTGAGAGATACAGTTGACTAATCCCACGTAAAAAAAAAAAAAAAAAGACCTGTTAATGTCAACAAGTTTTCCTGTTCTGATAGTTTGGCACCTTTTTATTTTTTTTCCCCCTTTTAAATACTTTTGTGTCTAAATTCAGACGAATCCTCAAACTTCTAACCTTGTAACTAAAATCATGCCTTAGTAGAGGCCTTATAAAATCACTTTTTTGAAGCTAGGTTAAGTTCTGAATTATACATATCTTCATTTCCTTGTTGACTTGTCAAAGTAAAAGTTCTTTTTTCACAAGAATTTTTTAGATAAACAGAAAACATGCAAATTGATGCAACTGATATTTCCTCTTCTCTCCCCGAAGGTGGAAGATGCTTTGTCCTACTTGGACCAAGTGAAACTGCAGTTTGGCAACCAGCCTCAGGTCTACAACGATTTTCTGGATATTATGAAAGAGTTCAAGTCTCAGAGGTGAGCCCACTGTTTCATTTCACAGAAAAGAATGTGAATTATAAGGATGCCAAATGTCTACTTCAGAATGTACACTTCATGTCATTCATGCCTCTGACAGAAGTGTCGTACAACTAATTGACACAGTGCAGTACTCATAAAACCAAAAAGCAGTTTTACAAATAGGAAGACATTCAGTATTAAATATAAGGCTTTATATATTTCACAGACTTTGACACATAAAAAGGTCGTGAAGCGTTGATATTTCATCTTGTGTCGTTACTTTGCTTTTTCCTGCGTTCACTCTCACCTCGTCTGCACTATGAAGGTATCAGCTAATGTCTGCGTGTGACAACAGACAGTAGCTTCATGTTAGTAACATATCAGCCTGCTACAGTCTGTTGTTGCAAACTTAAGCCAAACTCCATAAGTGTTTCCATTTGAGTAGGCGACTCGTGTAAAACAACGTTTGCAGACAGTCATTTTTTCTGTTAGCCGTTTTCTCTTCCTTGTCATTATTACACCTGCGCTAAAACAGGAATGTCCACACAGCAGTGATTAGAAAGACAGCCATGCTTCCTCATACTACTAGTAATGTGTGAAATCTGACACCAGTGTTGTCAGCTTCCCCCGAAACTTTACCGCGTAGTGATTAGATAATAACTCGGCGGGGAGGTGTTTCCTTATGGAATCACAGGCGCACACAAACAGAGCCAATTCATCGCAAAACCCACAATTAACAAGCGCGTATTGAACCGTGCATGCTGTACCGACTGGTTCAATATTTCATTCAGAATTGTTAAATTCCCAGTAATCAAACATGAATGAATAAAACATGAAGGATATCAAAATAAAAAAAAACATGTTTTTGTTTGTGTAAAGACATTTCTCCTTACACGTACCAACATAAGATATAAGGTTATAAATAGTAAAACACAGTGAATGACAGATAGATATACCTTTTCATAGACTCAGACTGGTCATGAAAACCTTTTATTAAGGTTATTATATTCTAACTATTACTGTTGCTGAGATTTATTTTGTTTGTATCTCTGATTTGGTGACATTTCAACTCAAGTTACAGAACTGACTTGAAGGATGACTGCCAGTGTGGATTTTGAATGAATTCTTCCCTTTTTTTGTTTTGTTTTTGTTTTTCCCAGTATTGACACCCCGGGGGTCATCAGCAGAGTGTCACAACTTTTCAAAGGTCATCCTGACCTCATCATGGGCTTCAACACCTTCCTGCCTCCTGGCTACAAGATCGAGGTCCAGACCAACGACCTGGTCAACGTGACCACTCCTGGTCAGATCCACCACATCACCCCGCATGGCATTTCAGTCCAGAACATCCCCATAACAGGAGTAGTCCCCCAACACCCGGCTCAGCTACCGTCTGCTCCAACCACCACCGCTCCGCCCCTTCTGACACAGCCTACCCCAGCCAAGATTAGCAAGGTGAGGAATTCAGTCAGGAAAGTAACCTAAGGACCCCCCCTCAAAAAAAAATCTGGTTCAAGTTATTAAAAATATTGCGTGTTTTATGTAGTGCATCAATTCATCAAATCGTCTAAACCGTCCATGTTGTGATCACCTGCAGCCTCTTCAACCACCGGCGTTGACACCCAGCAGTCAGAGCAATCCGTCCATACCTGCATACACCTCTCCTCGCTCCCCGCCCATGCAGCTCCATCCGCCATTAAGCGGGACCCCCACCGGGCCACCCATTCAAAACAACCAGCCTGTGGAGTTCAACCACGCCATCAACTACGTCAACAAGATCAAGAACCGCTTCCAGGGCCAGCCCGACATTTACAAAGCCTTCCTGGAGATCCTCCACACGTACCAGGTCGGTCACCACGTCTCTAATCTCAGCTATTGAGTACATTTGTGGCTTGAATGGATTAAATTCTTCCTTCAAAAAAAAAAAGAAATGTAAAATATGCTCCTGCTTGTCAGCCTTAAAGTGGCAGCAAGCAACCTGAACAGTCAAATGAACAAAACCTTTGCCTCACCCTTTGCAACCCTGTAGCACTCTGTGAAGCCCCTCCCACCAAATGATGTCCCAAACATGCAAGCTAACCATCGTCACTGTGCCACGCAGCAAATTTAGTCAGTCTAAGCAGCAGAAACCCTGACAGTCAACCAATATACATCCCAAAAGAATAAAAAAGTTGCAGCTGCTGTCTGCTGCACAGCTGTTGAGCTCTCAGCACCACCAAGGCAAAGACAGAAAGGGAGAGAACAAGTGAGAGAGAGAGCTGCAGACAAAATAGCACAGAAAAGACTGATGATTTAAGTTGGCTAGCTATGTGCAAACTTAAGCTGAATGTTTCTTAGATTTTAGAACAAAGCTAAAGACAAGGTGCTCACAGACACAGATCAAACACTATCCTATCACTTCAAAATATGATTGTTCGTGACATTCAATGATTAAAATGTGTTACTTTAACTAAATTTCTAATGAAATGATGTCGCTTATCGTACCTTTAAATATCATGTCAAACTCTGAAGCTCACGTGGTAATCATTGGCTCCATGTTTTGCGTTTACTCCCAATAAGGAATCTTGTTCATGGTTGACGCAGGTTTCCCACCAAACAAGGCTTGCTAATGCTAGTGCTAATGCTAACCCTACCAGCAGATGTTTCTAGATTAACCGTCTGGTGACAGTCTTCGTTGGACTCCACCATGCCTCGTTAGAAACCATTGTGTGAACTCACTGAGACAACGTCCATGTTTCTTACAGTCTTTTGAAGGAAAAAAAAAAAATAAACAGAATTCCTTTTTTGACTATTTCATCAACTTAAGCAAGGGAGAGAAAATTAGCAGAACGTAATGTTTAAATTCTAGCAGACATGTACAAACTTTGAGTGAGAAATGTGCACTGTTGAGAAAAAAATGCTTGTTAAAGATTGCTAAGTGGAGTTCTAACCTATTTTCAGATCTGTTGCCTTTCATCTCAAGGGAGTCTGCAGGCCTGAATTAAGACGACCTGGAAATGATTTTTGAAAAATGACTGTGGATGGTTTTATTCATGTGTTGTTCCCCACAGAAAGAGCAGCGTAATGCTAAAGAGGCCGGTGGGAACTACACACCGGCTCTGACGGAGCAAGAGGTCTACGCTCAGGTGGCAAGACTCTTTAAGAACCAAGAGGACCTCCTGTCAGAGTTCGGCCAGTTTCTCCCAGACGCCAACAGCTCAGTGGTGAGCACAGTCCTGATATCAAGTGTTTCTGTTGCTCTGAAGTTCAAAGAAGTTTATTCATGTTTCCTTGTCTTGATCACTTGTATGTTCTTCCTGTAGCTGTTAAGTAAGACCACGGCTGAGAAGGCAGAGTCTGTCAGGAATGATCACGGTGGCACTGCCAAAAAGCTGCAGCTCAACAACAAGCAGAGGCCCAATCAGAACGGCTGTCAGATCCGTCGACATCCAACTCCAGGAACCACACCCCCTGTCAAGGTACAAACATAAATTCTTATATACAGCTGAATATTTAAGTGACTTCCTTTATGCCCCCTTAGTTCATTTTCTTAGTAACTGATGTATTTTGTATCTGTGTGTTCTCGTCCCTCTTCTGGTGATGCTGCAGAAGAAGCCCAAGTTACTGAATTTAAAAGACTCCTCGGTGGCGGAGGTCAGCAAGCATGGCGTCGGAACAGAATCTCTGTTCTTTGAGAAGGTGAGGTTTTGAGATGTTTGTGTTTTCTATTTGAATTAAAAAAAAACGGAGCAGCCATTCAATAAGCAGATACAAAGACAACACGTGGAGGAAGAGAACAGATCAGCGAGAGCAGAAGTCAGCAGTTTAAATCAAAGTGAATCTTTCTGTAATGATGCACTTTCAAGAAGTCTGCTCAACTTCAGACAGGAATTCTGTATACATGATTAGAGTTCTACCAAATGTGTCCCTAATGGAGGTGCAAACGCCTCAGGCCACTATTTGATTTTTTAGTTTTATCATGCCAGTCATTCTGGATATATGAGTAAATCTGGATATTCATAAAAATAAAAAATAAAAATAAAAAAACTTTTTAAACAACAAATCAAGACGTGTCCCATGTCTTTGATAAAATGACTGAAGATTGAAGAAGTGTTTTGTTCATTGTAATTTCCCTTCACCACTCTCCCTCTGTCACATATTGTAACTTTGAATTCTCGTCACAGGTTCGCAAAGCCTTGCGAAGTGCAGAGGCCTATGACAACTTCCTGCGGTGTCTGGTCATCTTTAACCAGGAGGTGATCTCCAGGACTGAACTGGTGCAGCTGGTGCTGCCCTTTTTAGGGTGGGTACTCTGTCGTCCTCTCAGCTGACAAGTCATTTGTTGTTGTTGTTGTTGTTGTTGTTGTTTTGCTGTAAACAATGTTTATCTTTAATATCATTTTCTTTCATTCATACAGAAAATTCCCCGAGCTGTTCAACTGGTTCAAAAACTTTCTGGGATATCGGGAAGTGTCCCACATCGAAGCCTACCCTAAGGAGCGAGCCACCGAGGGCATCGCCATGGAGATCGATTACGCCTCCTGTAAGAGACTAGGCTCCAGTTACAGAGCCCTACCCAAAAGCTACCAGCAGCCCAAGTGCACCGGCAGGACCCCCCTTTGTAAAGAGGTAAGACCTGCGAGAGCTAAGAATAGACATCGGAAAGATTTTAGAGAACGGCAAAAAATGCACCCTGTGTCCAAATGAAGACTGATCGAAACTCCAGAAGTCTTAAGTCGATTAAAATACATCCAAACCTGTACATGGGGACAGACATTTGCATCAATATGAACAATCTTATACCATCAGATAAGAGTTTCTTAAGAGCTTTCTTAAGTCAACATCTAATATTTGTTAGCTTCATTTGCCTTTAACGCCACATTAAGGTTAGTGTGGATGCTTCAGTTCTCTGTTTTTGTTTCTTTGGTTTCCAGGTCTTAAACGACACCTGGGTCTCCTTCCCGTCCTGGTCTGAAGACTCCACGTTTGTCAGCTCAAAGAAGACTCAGTATGAGGAGCATATCTACCGGTGTGAGGACGAACGCTTTGAGGTGAGCAGGAAACTTTAAACACCTGGAACTTATCTGTTGATTGTCCCTCTTGTAATAAGTTTGTCTGCCGGGAAAAAATATGGTAAACTGAAGTGCACGACACACCCTGAACCTTGATATAAACTCTGCTGTGCTGTCTTATCACACAGCTGGATGTCGTACTGGAGACAACCTGGCCACCATCAGAGTCCTGGAGACGGTACAGCGGAAGTTGTCCCGCATGTCGGCCGAGGAGCAGGCCAAGTTCAGATTGGACAGCACTCTGGGTGGCTCCTCGGAGGTCGTACACCGCAAGGCCATCCAGAGGATATATGGAGACAAGGCGCCCGACATCATCGATGGCCTGAAGAAAAACCCAGCTGTGTCCGTCCCCATCGTGTTGAAGAGGTGAGAGCAGAACCTGAGCAGTGTCACCCATTTCCACTTAAACTTTTACAACCAGTTGTTCGAAAGAGAAGCCGTTTCAATTACAAAGTTTAATTTAAGGTAACAGGTTTTTTTTTAAGAGTGGCGAGGCATCAATAAGGGTTATTTATTGTTTATTCAGAGAGGTAAATGAGCGCAAGACTCTGTATTTAGGGCTTAAACCGAGGTTATGAACGACAGCTTTTCAACACAGGGAAGGGAAGAGCTGATGTATTTTTTAGAAGTGGGTTAAAAAATTGTGCCGGATATTTAATTTCACTTTTTGTTCCCTGCCTTCTTCTTAGCAGTGAAATGATTTGAGAATAAATCCCTCTTTGAAAGTATTTAAATGTTCCATTCCTGCCTGAAATTCACCACGCTGCAGCAGATTGTTCTGTCTTTCTGTGATGATGCAAAGTAACTGAAACTCTCTGACACCTTGGCTGTAGTTTGAAGTTGTGTAAGTGTGAGTAGCAGATGTTTGTCGTGTGTACGCTTCTTGACTTTGCGTTCTTCTGTCCAGGTTAAAGACAAAAGAGGAGGAGTGGCGGGAAGCCCAGCGAGGCTTCAACAAGATCTGGAGGGAGCAGAACGAGAAGTATTACCTCAAGTCTCTCGACCATCAAGGCATCAACTTCAAGCAGAATGACACCAAAGTGCTTCGGTCGAAATCCCTGCTGAATGAAATTGAAAGCATTTATGACGAGGTACATTTCACAGTGAAGCTTTATGAATCACACTACTTACAGGAGCATCGTCAGAAAGATAGAAGCATATTCTCTTTTCAAAGTGTTCATCTCAGAAATCTCAAAAGCTAACATTAAGATGTTTTTGCCCTGCAGCGTCAGGAGCAGGCATCTGAGGAAAACGCCACTCCACCCTCGGGCCCCCACCTGACGCTGGCGTACGAGGACAGCCAAATCCTGGAGGACGCCGCCGCGCTCATCATCCACCACGTCAAACGTCAGACCAGCATCCAGAAAGAAGACAAATACAAGATCAAGCAGATCATCTACCACTTCATCCCCGACATGCTGTTCTCCCAGCGAGGCGAGCTCTCGGACGTGGAGGAGGAGGAGGAGGAAGAAGACGACATGGACCTGGAGGAAGGCGCTTCCAAAAAGCACAACGGCGTCCCCGGCAGCGGGAGCCCGTCGAAGTCCAAGCTGCTGTTCGGCAACACGTCGACGCAGAAGCTGCGGGACTCTGACGACGCCTACAACCTTTTCTATGTGAACAACAACTGGTACATCTTCCTGCGGCTGCACCAGACGCTGTGCTCGCGGCTGCTGCGGCTCTACGGGCAGGCGGAGCGACAGATCGAGGAGGAGGTCAGAGAACGAGACTGGGAGAGGGAAGTCCTGGGGCAGAAGAAGGAGAAGAACGACAACCCGGCTATGCAGCTCAGACTGAAGGAGCCCAGTGAGTAAAACAGGAGAGGCTTTTTACAAATCTGGTTCTGATTTACTTTCCCTACAGAGAGCAGAGAATAAATCTTTTGTTTTCACTCATGTTTCGGTCACAATTCTGCAATTTTACACAATGCACATTCCTCGTTTTCCCAGAGAAAATGTGTGGCCTGTTGCTCCAGCTATGTGTAAGTTCTGTGCTAAGTTAGGGCTTAAAGTCCGCCCTAAACCCTTCTTTGAAACTAGTCAGGCTCTAGTTGTGTCACTGTTTGGATGCATCACAGAGACGTAAACTAGTCGAGCATTACGTACAATCTAACTTAAATATTGTTACAGATATGACATGCTCACGCCCTGCAGCCAATCAGTGAATTTCCTTTTTCTTAAAGAAGTGTTTTGTGACCGCGCTGCCTCTCCTGCCTAATCGTCTCTCGACAGAATAACAGCTGGAAATAATATTTTTTTTTTTAAACTGTTGAAGCACAGACAGTGATGAAAACGTATGTGAAAGATTACAAAGCCTGATCATTAGGTGATAACAGCTACACATTAAAACAGTGACATCTTCAACTGGAACATAATGTCATTTAAAGGTACATATATTATTGGAAGGATAAAATGATCTCCACTCATGGAAAACAAAAGCAGGAAAACTAATCAAAGCCATCGTATATTTCCTCCAAGTTATCCCACCTTTTTAAATGATCCACCGTGACAACCATATTTTACAGAGGACTTTACACGCACACACACACACACACACACACACACACACACACACACACACACACACACACACACCAACAGGTCCATATCATCATTAAAAAAGCAGAAGAAATATAAATGCAGGACATCAACATTTACAATTTACACTTTACAATTTAGATACACAGGAACTTTATTAAACCCTTGGGAAGGTTCTCTCAGGAAATTCAGAATTTTGTCCGTCATTCAAATATAAAGAGGCATTTTGCGCCAGTGTTTCCAACACCAGGAATACCTTGTGTCACTTAGTGAGGGCTGAGTGAGAGGCCTTATGATTCCTTTTTCTGAACTAAACATCACAGGCAGACATGAAACTTCTCAGTACAGCATGAAATGTGGAGAGAATAGGAGCTAGGTGTAAGATTAAAGATTAAACTAATGCCTACGTTGGAACGATCTCAGCTGGTGAAACATTCAAATGTTAGCAGTGCGTGAACTCCTTAAGTTAGAGCTACATTTGAACGCACTCATAGCTGGTGCAACCTGGTGCTGAAAGTATTTCAAAAAGGATTCTTAGCTTATCACACACACACACACACACACACACACACACACACACACACACACACACACACACACACTGGACATTACAAAAGCATTAAGAAAGCCAACAGTCGATGAGAATATCAGACAAAGTGTGAATGGAATCAAAGAGGGCGGGACTTTTAGACAGCTTCTGCCAGTCTTTCTGTCAAAAACTTTTATTTATATATTCTCCTCTCTAGTGGACATTGAGGTGGAGGATTACTACTCGGCCTTCTTGGAGATGGTGAGGAATTTGCTGGATGGAAACATGGAGGCTTCTCAGTACGAGGACTCGCTGAGGGAAATGTTCACCATTCACGCTTACACCGCCTTCACCATGGACAAGCTCATCCAAAGCATCGTCCGGCAGGTGTGTTCCATCATCAGCTCAGCGGCTACATTTAGCTAGTCCGATGAAAATAGCAGCTGTCACTTTTAAATAGTTGTTCTCCGAATCTGACGCATTTCTCTGTCTCCATGCAGCTCCAGCACATCGTGAGCGACGAGATCTGCGTCCAGGTGACAGACCTCTACCTCTCCGAGAGCTCTAATGGAGCCAGCGGAGGAACCATGACCACGCAGTCCTCGAGGAGCTCCGCAGAATCCATGTACCAGCGGAAAGCCGAACAGATCATGTCTGATGAAAACTGCTTCAAGGTAAATGCACAAAAAGTCAAATATACCGTCAAATCTGGAATATTAAGTGCTCCGGTATATAAGACGCAGTCTGTTTTTCTGGGTCACCCAGAGAGAAAAAAAATGAAGGTTTAAACTGTCGACCTGCAGCGACGATCTTTATCGTAATCAGCAAAGTCTACAGCGTGAAGCTTCTGTACAGATGTGTAACTCTTTTAGTACAGTATGTTCGCTTTGCACTCCTACTAGCAACATAACGGTAGTTAAGCTCTCTCAGATTTCTGCAGATATCCCTTCTCCTGAGAGCTGAGACCACGACAATTTCTCCTGTTGGTGTTTGATCAAACTCTGTTCTCGGGTGTGTTCACATCCAATTAAACTTTCTCGACACTTCTCCGCATTGGGAGATGTTCGCATTTCTTTGTGAAATACAGAAAAGTGCTGTATGCAGTTTACCGTTCAGACAGCTCTGTACTCATCATTTTGTCGTTTGGCATCTCAAGGGTCTAAAATGAGTTCTTCAGCTCAACGATGATTCTACTGTGTAATACAGAAGCAACTTAAAAGCACTCATCGACTACTTTGACCCACTTTGAAAGCTTCAGTTAACATCGGATAAATTAACGTTGCACTTAAGTTCATCTCACTTTGAAACAAGTTAAATGACTGATTCATTTGGGGCGCTGGATGGCCTAGTGGTTATGTCCCATGTACGGAGGATATACAGTAGTCCTCGTTGCAGTGGCTGTGGGTGCGAGTCCGGCCTCGCCCTTTTGCGGCGTTGTCTCCCGCTCTCTCCCGTCAGCATTTCAGCTGTCCAATCCAGTGAAGCCAAAAAAATGACTCACTTTTTTTCCTGAACAATAACATCATGTAGTCTAGGTCACTCTAGATTCATGAACATGTGAACCAACATCCTTTTTTCTTAGTTTGCAGCTGATAAACACTAACCAGGATGCCAAATCCTTCTTGCTAAGTGTCAGGGTTTAAGACAAGAAGATCGTGTTCTGGCAGTCAGCTTCCTGATTTCGGCTTCCTCTGAGCCCTCAGGACATCCTTGTTATTTTTTTACCGCCACGCGCTGAATACGTTTTCCCCTCACACTTGCTGCATGTGTGTCACTTTCTCAGGTGATGTTCCTGAAGAACAGAGGGCAGGTGCAGCTCACTGTGGAGCTGCTCGACACAGAGGAGGAGAACTCAGACGAGCCCATGGAGGCCGAGGTAAGGAAATAGTTGGCAGTGATTTAGAGATATGGCTTCTGAGCTTTGGAGTTTGGATAAAGGAAGGAAAAAAATGCTTAATGCAGCCACCTCACAACAACACTGTCCAGGATGGCTGTTGATGCCTCATCATGCTCTTGGTGCAAGACACATTCCACATTACACCGTGTCCTAACAGCACGTGGGCATCAGATATTGCATTGCATCACTCGCTGCCCGCACTGCATCTGTTAAATATTTACTTCTTTGCTCTGTGATATATCTTAGTTTCCCCTTGCAAACAAATATGACATCTAAAGCTTTTGTATCAAAGGTGAACAAACTGAAGTGTGGTGCTTTGCATTTAGGACCCGAACTCCATCACATCAAGTAAAAAGTCTTCATATTAAATCATGAAATTAGAACAAAATTTGTTTTCTTCGTTTTCTTTTTTTTTTTTTTAGCTTTGTTTCGTATTCGGGTCGACTTTTCCAGATGTTTCAGAAATACTTGTCTTGACATGTTTCCAACCTGCAAACAATGCTGCTGTTAGAGCTACTGTACTTAACTTATCTCTTAAACTTCTCTTTTGTTCGCAGCGTTGGTCTGATTACGTCGGCCGCTATTTAAACCCAGATTCCACCACACCTGAGTTAAGAGAGCACCTCGCTCAGAAGCCCGTTTTTCTTCCAAGGTGGGTGGTCTATCTTTTGTGAAAATCCTTTTTTTTTCAAGACAAAACATGCTAATCTTTATAGTCAACTTTGATGTAGTTGTTCTGATACAAATTCAAAGATGCATCCTTTGATTAATGAACTGTAATGGATAAGTTCTGACACATTCCCGCTCTCATTAGTCACTCTCATCTCATCTCATCTCATCCCGTCTGTCTTTGCGCTCGAAACAAGGAACCTGAGACGGATCAGGAAGTACCAGAAGGGCCGAGAGCAGCTGGACAAGGAGGCCTGCGAGGGAGGCAAGAAATCCCTGGAAAAAGAGAAGATGGAGTGCATGTTCAAACTCAACTCTTACAAGATGGTCTACGTCTTTAAGTCTGAGGATTACATGTACCGACGCACCGCCCTGCTGCGAGCGCACCAGGTAATCACGGCTTCCTGTTACTGTCGGCTTGAGCTTTACAGGCACCAAATGACTTACTTAGTCATTGGCAAAACAGTGATTTTATATCTTTGAGTTTCTGTATTATTTGAGGAGGGGGCTAAGCCTTATTAGGTGTTAAAGTGCTTTCAAACCTGACTGGGGACTGTTAGTGCTTTTCAGTCACTTATTCAGTTTGTGGAAAACTTTTGTTAAAAGACAAGATTCACAAATGATAAGATAAGATTCAAAGCCTGATACTGTTGTCCACATCTGTCAGCATGTTTGACCCCCAGAGTCCATTTTGTTTGACCAGTGTGAACGCTCCGTTCTGTGCTCAAGCACGGTACACTACCATGGCCCTGGCATGGCTGAAAGAGGTGTGTGTTGGCACAGTACGGTCGCTTGTCCACAAGGAGGGGTATGCAACATGGAGGTGACGAAGAATCGATTGCTGTGTTGCGCAATCGAGAAATCCAAAACGATTTCAAATGAGCCGTAAAGTTGCAGCCATGTTCTCTGTGTTGTTCTTTATTGTGCGGACTCTGAGACAACACTTCTTTTAAACTAAAGGACGCTTCATGGTGACATAAAGCCATGCGCTTGTTGTATTACGATGTAATGACATATGTGGTTAGGCACTATTGGGCCCAAAACAATGTGAGTGCAATACCAGCACGGGGACTGGGGAGGAGGACAATCAGGCTTCTGAATGGTACGGGGCACTGGGCCTAGTGTGAGTGCGCCCTTACTCTTATCTAGTTTCTCCAAAGTTGCCTATCCCAGCTTAAAGCGTGTTTCCAAAATGCTAACTATTACTTCAAGTTAAGCACAAACGAGGCCATGTAAGAGCTGTTTACAGTCATCTTAAAGGACATAAAGTAAATGTCACTGCTGTACTAGTATTAAAACAACCTCCTGACAAGTGTCCATCTCTTTTTTTTTTTTCTCAGTCTCATGAGAGGGTGAGCACCCGGCTGCACAACCGCTTCCAGGCCTGGGTGGATGCGTGGGCCAAGGAGCACGTCACCCGCGACATGAGCGCAGAGACCAACAAGTGGCTGATGGGCGAAGGGCGAGACGGCCTTCTACCCTGCACCACCAGCCGACAGCCGGAGGTCCTTCACTTCATGAACATCAACAAGTTCAAAGTCAAGTACGGCACACCCAGCAAGGCGCCGTAACCGAGGAGCAAGAGGAGAGAGAGAGAGAGAGAGAGAAAGACTGATATCTGGGAGTGTGTGGTCTCAAGTCACACAGGTTCAGGAGTAGACGTAGGGACGAGGGCTTATTAAAGTGTTTTTAAGGCCGACATGGGAGCACAATTAAGCTAGCTACCCTGTGTGTTGCACCCGGGGCGGCAGGATTACTGATTTTACCAGCGTTTTTAGCTGGGCCCATTTTTTCACAGGGCCGTCAGTGCCAAAACTTAGGAATGGTCATGATCCAGTCGCAGACCTGAGCTCGCACCAGCACTCGGAGCCACTTCTCAAACAAACCTCCCTTGAGCCTTTTGTTCAGACAGGGCTTAGCGTCGCTAACAGTGAGCCTGTGAGAGATAAGAGTGGTGCTTTTTGTACTTTTATCACAAACCGAGCTTCGGTTTCCGTTATTTTCCACTCTTTCATTCGTCTGAAGCCATCAGAATAAGAGTACAGGGACTTCTCGTTGGTCGTGTTATTCTACAGTATCCATGGAAAACAATGTGGTGGACAAGTGCACTTATTTAGGAAGAGGGAAAAATGTCTTTCAATGAATTTTTTTGCTTCCCAGATTGAAGGCTTTAGAGGGAGCACAACAGAGTCAGGAGGAGATCTGGTTCAGACATTCCTGCGTTAAGGCCAAATCACAATAATGTATCTTTCACTAAGCGGAAAGAGGGATCGTTTCCTTTTTTCCGAAACACATGGCAGCATTATTAGAAACTGTGCCTGAGCCCCAAACAGTATTGTCGGGTTTAACATCCTAAAGCACTGTTGCATTTATGTAAAAAAAAAAAAAAAAACAGCCTCACAACACTGTTTGGTCTCAGACTGTAAAATTGTATAGCTCGTGAATGTCAGATACTGACATGTATTCCAGTGTATGTGTTGTGTATATATATTATATATAGTTCTATTAACACAAATGATCCTCGCCGCCCTGAGAGTGTCAACCGTTTTAAACTGCCCTCCGCCAATACACCAGCTTGAACACACACACACACACATACGTCGACAAACACACACTCATTCTGGGAGGACTGTCCACATTTATGCCGCTCACTTTGTAAATACACTGTAAATAGTCTCAGACTTTTTATGACAGATCTGTGTTGTTGTGCTAGTTATACTTTCCAAGCTTACTGTGGACTTTAGTGATGAATGGCTAAAGTTAGTATGTATATGAAAAAGACAAAATGCAAGACCATTTATTACAGTTTTTACCAAAGGGAGTTGATTATCAAAACTAGCTGTTTTCCCCCCCTTTGTGTGTTCCTTTATGTCTTTTTCTTTTTAATTTTCTGTAGTGAAAACGCGGAAAAAGTAGAAATGTATCCAGGTCTTTCAGTTTTTATATATAAAGATAACATTTGTTTCTCCTCAGTGTGACATTTGGTTTGTTAAAATCACTGCCCCCACCCCCCCTCCTCCTCCTTTAACGAAAACAACCCCGACACCCTCCGTGGTGATGGTGGGACTCCTTTCAAAGTTAATTTCTTAAGATGAACAGACTCAACGTCCGCCTCACTCTGTGATGCACGCTTCCCCTCCTCCCTGGATAGATTTCTGCTGCAAACTTCAAGCCACACCATATTTTTGATAATGGAAGAAGTCACACAAGCATGTCTTTAGTCCCTTTATTTACACATTATTTAAAGTATTAATAAAAACGACATTTGTAGCCTATTGAAATGTGGAGTTGTTGAGTCGCTTATTTTTTTTTTAACCCCTTCATGGGTTTTTTTCATCCATTTAAAGTAGCAGGAAAGAGGAAAATAAACGATTCTGTTTGCCTCTTATGTCATATGCAATAAGCAAACATCTTCTAGTGTTGGTTTATCTGTGACAGGAGCAGCTGTGGCTCAGTTGGTAGAGTTGGGTTGTCTCTCACCCTGAAGGTCAGTGGTTCAATCCCCAGCTCCTGCAGCCACATGTCCGATGGGCAAGACACTTAAGCTAAGATGAATAGATCTGGACATGATTTATTATACTTCATTCAGAAACATTGTTAAACACAGGTAATGTGTTATGACAACCTCCATCAAATAATCAATTCCCTTTAAATCCTGCAGAGGGAGTCCTTTCACTGATCACTGACATAAAGCTCTTCCTGCATCCAATCACACCACGGGGGGAAATGAAACTCCTGCAGAATGAAATGAAGACACACATGGGCAGCTTTACGGTCAACATTTATGGATTATTAATTAACTGATTAAAGGGATACTTCACCCGTTGAAACATGAATCTGTATTGCCATTGGGTCATATATGTAGTAGAAATGTGAAATACATTTTGAATTTGGTGCCTTCTTGGCTGAGAAAAGGCAGAAAGTGTCTTTTTACCTGATGTGGATGAAAGATACCAAATCCCAGAATGCACAGGCCACTCCCACTAAGGTCCTCTAGTTCAGAATCAGAAATACTTCATTAATCCCAGAGGGAAATTCGATTGTTAAAGTTTCTCCAAAATATACAATATAGCAGTAGAAGTATATTAATAAAAACATTTACAGACATATGTACTTCAACACATTTCAAGGCCATTTTCTCAACAGATTCAGAGATTTCTTCCAGGATTGATCTTGGAAATTCCTGGCAGAAAACAGACTCTATGTCTGTGTCCATAGGCAAACAGTGAGAGCACCAACACTACCAGTCCGCCCCAGCTCGAGCCGGCCCGGGCCCCTGTCCTCACTGCCGCAGACAGGCAGGACTTATGTCTCGGCTGCCGAGCTGGCAGCGGCCAGCAATATAGCAATATATTGGCCAGTCTTGTGTCGCGGCGTCCCCGGTGGGGGCCAGCGGCGGCCAGCGACAGCCAGCGACCATAGCAGCCTGGCCTGTCGGCAGCAGCCATCTCGCCACTATATTTATATTTTTTCGCCATTATCAGCTTTCTCCATAGAGCCTGTTAGCATAGCTTCCAAGCAATATGGCGGACGTTAAGTTTCGATTCTGGGAGTGAGTTCCCACCCACTGATCTGTGATAGGTCTGTAGCTTCAGTGGTCAAAAATATGAGGAACTAGCATTGTAGTTTCACCCCGCTCACCGCAACCGCTTCCAGTGACGCAAAAATCGTCATTTTGCGTCACTCGAAGTTCCTTTTCAGATTTAGAAATACAAAGATTTCCCATCTCAGGGGAAAATGAGGGCGCGATGTACGACCATTCAAAAATAGAGAATAGAGAAGTGTGTAAGAAAGTGGCACTAATTTCATAATTAATTTTTTGCCACAGTTAACATTTTCAGCGCAAGATTATGGTCTCCATTTCTTCTTTCAAGTTTTTGGGGTTTTTATTTTCAGAAGGATGTTCAAGTTATGCATGACGGTCCCATTTAGAGGGCACTTTCGATTAAGCACTTTAAGAACTTTGTTTATATGTCCTTTATTAACAATGTTCAAAGGTCCTTTACTTTTTTAAATAATAAATGAAAGACCCTTCGCTACAATGGAGAGATGACATGTGGGATAAGGTTGTAGTGCAGCAGTTTCAACATACCTGATATGTTACAATTCACTTAATAGACGCCTTTATCCAAAGTGACGTACATCAGAGAGTGAGTACAACACTAATCCACATAAGGCTATATGTATGACAAATATCTATCAAACTTGTATAATCAGGGTGCTGGTGGTCAAGTGGTTAGTTTGTGGGCCCTATGTACAGAGGCGTAGTTCTTTGAAGTGGGTGGTCTATGTTTGAATCTGAGCTGTATAGCTCCTTTCCCGCATGTCATACCCCACTCTCTCTTTCCCGATGTCTGACTCTGTCCCCTGTCATGTCTCTCCAATAAAGGCATAGAAAATCCCCCCAAAAAATATGTATATTCAGACGTGAAAAACTAGGCCTACATATATTTTGATATGACCTGGCAGGTTTTAGAGATTTAAGACCTGCCCAGATTAGTCAGTGACCCCTGACAGAGATGGGGCAGATTTGGACGAGGTCTATCTCTAATGGGGGACAATCACTCTGAATGTAAAACCTGAATTCCTCGGGGTAACTGGCCCGATTCCAACAGGCCTCTGTGGGTGGTCTGACGTACTGTACAGTGAATTGAGTTTACAGACAAGAGGCTGAATGTATCAACAACAACAACAACAAAAAAGAACCTCTCATCATTCATGGTACCTGCAGCTTTCATACCCCTAACAAAACACATCCTCTCATGGACACACACCCTTTACCCACTTGGCTGCCGCGGTGCTGAGGCCCTGATGAAGAGTGAGGCCGACACATGCCAGCAGAGCCCTCCATGCCTCCCACTGGCAGCGCTAACAATGAGTTCCTCAAAGGCAGCACCGGCTGAGGGGGAATGGAGAGCTTTTTTTTCCCATCTTTTTTTTTTCCCCCCCTAAAGCTCTTCTGCGTGATTTCTTCCTTGGAGTGCACACTCCTGAACAGCTTTCAGCTCCCTAATGTCCGCGCTTCCGCAACTTCTGACTCAGAAAGCTGGGCTATTGTCACAGCTACAGAGCCTGTATTGTCCCTCCAGCTCCGAGGCCTTGGCTCTCGTAATGTGGACCAATTAACTGACTGTGAATGACCATGTACATTTCTGGTACATTAGCAGGCAGAGGTTTCCACAGCGTTTGCCGAATTTCAAATTCGAGAGCTACTTTCACTCTACTCAATGCATTTAAGAGGAACACAACCTCTGGAATAATAGTCCTGTACACTAGCAGACCATTTTGGCAAACAGACACGAAGCTTACAGCGATTTAATGATGATGGCTGCTTTTTGCTGTGTGAGATGAGACTTACAGTGCTGAATAATCCCAAGCTGTAATTTATTTTTGGAATGAGTAAAAATGTTTGAAGACCAGTGGCTCAAACGAGTATGAAGCTTAAATTGGAACAGCTATTAATAACATAGAGCATTGGTCCTTTTTCTCCACATTTCATCTCTCTCACATCCAATAAAAGTGGGTGATTTCTACCAGCTGCATCCAGAGGCAGTTTGTGTCTACATGAATGGGAGTTTGTGTGGAGACATCAGCTGAGACATCTTCTCTGCTGCCTGATTCGTCTTAATGATGAGAAAGTGCCATCCTGCAGCCTCCTCTCCTCTATAAAGGGATTACTGAAGTCTGGCACTCTTGCATAACCGCTGCAAGCACCTGTGCTGAGCAGCAGGGTTTACATGCCCAACTGCAACAACTTGAAAAAGGAAGACAGAAATCACCATTTTAATATCTTCAAGCCATTCTACAGTCGAGGTGTTGAGATCTATCAGTCTGTTTCCTTCATCGTGTGCGCTTACATCTTGACTGGGCTACAGATGAATGCTAGGGTTTTTAATAAAGATGAGATGAGATTGTTTTGTTTAGGGTCGTGCTAATGTGCAGCTCTAATGAGATGCAGATGTCTGTCAGCTGCTCCAAAACTTTGTCAGCTGCTCCAAAACTTTGTTACACATAGAAAATATTCGAATACCGGTAAATATCGTTGACACATTCAAGCCCTCCGCATAAAAAAATGTAACATCTTTTTTGAGTCTATAAGGCGTGTCATTAAGGCCGTATTTACAAGTTCAACCCTACATTCATTGATTCTGTTCTACAAGAGGATCAATTAAACACTTTGGGCACCCCTGGTCTAGAAGATAAAACCTGATGATATTACCCATCAGCCTTCAAGTTTTTCTTTATTACTTCTTATTTACAATAGGGACAGTGCACAAAATCCATCTGAACATCCCCAGCGGGTTGATGCTGCACACGTATACAGATATATAAACCTCACAAAAACACAACAACAGATGTCAAACTAACAGTATAGACCAGGGGTGGGCAACTGGTGGCCCTCAGGGCGGCCCCCATCAACCCTAAACGTGGCCCTCGGGGCAATTTTTACATGTCAATTAATTGGAAACATGAAGAAAACATGACAAAATCTGCCATGAAATCATGAAAACCAGCAATATGTTCATAATAATATTTGATCACTTGTAAATGTTGAGTTAATTTGAGACATAATTGATTGTAATCATTTTTGTATCCTACAATTTGGGCCTCTGGCAGTGAGAATTAAATAAATGTGGCCTTTGCTGTGACCATCCCTGGTATAGACTGTACATTAGATGACAAAGACACATGTATTACAATACAAAAAGTGTCGATGAGATTTTCATGAGCTGAAGTGCTGGTGTATGGTACATCATTATTAGCAACTGCTAGCATGCTAAGATGCTAAACTAAGACGGTGCATGTGATAAACGCAACATAAAGCATCAATAACGTATGTTAGCCTTTAGCTTGAAGAACTACTGTGGTTAGGTGCAGCTACACTGAGCTACTAAAGCTCTACATAATGAGCAGTTTTTTTTCTTATGGACACAAAAGCATTGAAAGTCAGTTGAGTACATTATAAATAACTTAAGCACCATTACTCTTTAGCCATTCTTGAACTCTGCAATTTCACACCAAGTTTAAAAGTTCCCGTTTGATTTATGTATGACTCAGATAGGACTATGTGTCATTTTTAAATAACTGTCAACTTTGTTTTTCCTCGTACATTTTCAAATGATTTTCCTGTTTCCAAAAGAAAATGATTTGTATCAAATTAAAACATGAACTATTGACTCATGGTTAGATTTATTGACACAGCTGTTTTAATGTGACTCTCCCCAAAGTTTATCAGAAGCCAAGAACCAAAGTTTGGCGGAAAACTGCCATATAGATCAAC